TCCGGAGTTTAGTATAACTTTGAGAAGGCATACTGGCTGATCTATTATCGAGTCAGTCTTTCGGCCAATTCTATGTAAACTGCGTGTGGTTATGCCTGACACTGTTGTTAGCAGTAGCTTATCCAAGAGGAGCTTGACAAAGTTAAGCTCATGCTAGAATCTGACCTTGGGATCGGAAGCTTGTGATTTTTCTAATTGGTGGAGAATGAGCAGCCTGTCAGAGACATCAGGTTCGCTTGCCGTGGCTTCCTTGCTCTGCGGCGTAAGTTTCTTTCCATCCTTCATGGTGAGTGTCGCCATTATGTTGTCCTTATCCCGCTGTTTGCAGGACAGTACATTATGCCATTCGCCGTCGTCCTCTTCACCAACCGTAGTTGATTGTATCTGTTGGCTATCGACCGGTGTGGGTGAGACTTGACCTACAAGTCCCCATACGACTTTAGCTGCGGGTTTTTGACTCCCGGTACGCCTCTTCTTCGTGCCAGTCTTTCTGTTACTGCCAGTGGAGGGCTTATCCGGTACCACAGGGGCAGCATGTGTATCTGGACTATGGCGGATACTTTTTTGTGTGGAAGAGCCCTCACTCCCTGACAGAGACGCTCCATGAAAGTGTGTTGTCTTGTCAATGACGCTGGTCACGTCATCGGTGTCTGAGTAGTAGTCACTCTTCTCCTGCAGTGGAGGACGTTTGCAGTCCGGGAACTTCACAGCCCCACTGAGAGTGGCAGTGGCTTCCGTCATACGAAACTTAGTCGTACTGCAGCAGTCATTGCACGAACAGTTTGCCAGAGATTCTCAGCAGCGGTTTTATTTTACAAGAGTTAAATTTGTACACATGCAAACATCTCCTGCAGCCTTCAAAATGCGTTGCTTCTTTAACAGGGAGTTGGCACATAACTCTTCCGCAGCGGTTTCTTCTGAAATGACATTATATATAACCTTTATATGAATCAGTTTTTAAAAAAACCAAGGAGTGTACAGAAATAGATTTATATAACTATGAAGTTATAAAAACACAACTTCCGATAATTATGTGGATAAAAAACTGAAAAGTAAACTAACTTCAATCAGGATAAAATGATTCAAAGTTAATCTATAGACTTTTGGAGCGTACAACACAACAAAGGCCGAATTTAAACAACCGCGTGTAATATTCACTCCTTTTTCAATGTTCGTGTGGTAGGTTTGCTGATGCAACAATGCTTTTTTGTACGTTTAACTGGACACTTAATGCTCTGCTGAGTTAATGGTAGTTAATATTGCCAAAAATCTTATTATCGGTGAACTAACTAACGTTATAGAAAACAATTTTATCACTATATGAACAAGCTACTATACCCATTCCCAGTAACGCAAACCCCAAATGTGACGCTCATTTTGGTTAAATTTCTTCAATGGCGACGCATTGTATTTTAGAACAAGACATATAAGCGAACAATATTGTTTTCAATTAGATCTTCTTCAGGCTTTACCCTAATTTACATAGATTTATATATAAAATTTTAACCAATGACGGTGATTTTGGGAATCAAATAATAATCTTAATAATAATAATAACGTGGTAAATGTTTTGAACGAAATTTATAATGATGATTATAATGACAACAAAATATTGATAATAAGGTTTATGCAGGTGATAAGAATAACAAAGGTAGTATATGTATATAAGTGTATAAATAAATTAGGTCAAATCTTAAAAGGTGAAGTGGAACGATAATCAGAGTTTAAATAAATATTATAAAAGTACGAAGGAGGTGGAAAATAAGAAAGGGTGGGAGGGTTTTGAATAGAATTCACCTAGGCAAGCAAGGGAGAGACAAAGGTATAAAAAGCTTCTTTTGTATACAAAGACTAGGATTGTTCTCTCGAATTCCCATAGCTTCGGCTAGGTGTAAAAGAGCGTTCCCTGTTGAAACAATTGCATAGTCTATTGAATATTAATTCCTTCCTCTTGGTATGTAGGGAGATAATGTCACTTACTATTAAGCGATTATTTCCCGTACTCCGCTTCTGACACAGAGTTACAGGCTTGGAAAATGGAACTTCTGTGCATCACTGCAACCGTTAAGAAACATCTGTTCAGATTAGTAACACTGGTGCCACCATCACACTTTAACACCGCTCATTTAATTTCTGTGTTGCCTCCAATGTAAACAGCTACCTCAACTCCTCAGATACCACAGATTCTAAGTTGACACGTATTTCAGAGGTTCGGTATAACTAGTAGGCACGTTCCGGCTTTTACCGTTGTATGCAGCCAGCTAATCACTTTGCTGGAACGACTTCAGGCTCGTTTATCCTTTCGCTTCGACTAGAAGTAACGCTCGTGTCTGTTGTACCGAAATCTTTCCTGCTGGACTTGATCTTTGACAACACTACCTTCTGATTCTTTAGCTTGGCCCAACTAACCTGGTTACCAGGTTTCTTTTAACACCACCGTAGCTAGTGAGGTAAGAATATGGCACCTAATGCCTCTCAAAGGTGTGCTGATTAATGATTACGTTAACAGATAACAGTGAGACACAATCTTACCACAACGAAGCAACTTTACCATTGTCCTGTGAAAACCCTATCGTTTGTAGTAGTATTCAATCACCGTAGGCAAACAAGTTGAACACTCAACACGAAATGGCTGAGGTTAAATTGAATCGACGAATTTCTTCAGTTTACTACACTGTAACGTCAGGTTGAAGCCATTTAGATAATTCTTTAAATTAAGGAGGCTTCTCCTTCGGGCCAAATGCGTCCGCCCTGAGAACATAGGTCTTGCTAACATGGAGTTACGAGAAGTGCAAACCAGAAAACCGGGTACCTCCATCAAACCACCAGTGCAGCTGCAGCTTCTCTTTCAGTTCTGTCCTTTAATGGTCATTTAAAACTGATTCTTATCTTTCTTTTTAATTCATCAATAATTATCATCTGCGTATTAATAAAAACGAGACAAGTAGTTTAATGAAGACTGTCTTCTCGGCTAATACATTTTCCTTGCTTGTAAAATAGCGTAAAAGAGGGATGAATCATAATAAGAATAGTTGCTGGTAGTAATCAGTACGTGTGAGAAGTTGAATAAAGGTGGTGGTAATGAGGTTTCGCAAAGAGACAGATGAATTTCAGGCTACCTAAGTGTTTGAGAGGATATATGAGTCATAAAGGACCAGAGAAACACAATGGAGTGAGTAAAGCAGTTAAGTTGTTCACTAAAAGATACTCTTCACCAAACTTCTTGTTTTGTTTTTATCTTCCTGCCGTTGATCTTAAATGCGAGGTCAGGAATAGTGTCTTCTCTCCTTTGTTATTCAGTAATAGGTTAAAAGGCTTGCGGAAACTTTCACTAATATCCGTATCAAGTTTTCTGATTTTTTATTGTGGTACTCATACCAATATTACCCATTATATTAGGAAGAATTTTTAGGAAATGTAGACTTGTATACGACTTGAACCAAATGCATAGAATATTCCATATGCTAGATATTTGTGTTTTAAATGGAGTCAGAATGTATTAGCTACTGCCGAGACCTCAGCATCCGGTATTGTTTTAGTTCACTCGTTTAAGTGGCTTCTTGTCTGCTGTGGTGGGTGTGATGTTGAATCTCTCCAATTATTTTTAAATAATTCATTATCCTATCCTGGTTTTCTTCCTATTATCAGAACCACTAATATTTTCTTTCTGTTCTCATCCTTTTTTCTTTCGCGTATGTGCTTCAACCGGCCTACATATCCTAAATTTAATCCTCTTGCGCTTCCTTCCATTTAATTTGTCTGTTCATTCCCCTGATTTCATTTCAACTTGCTTACTACTTGTTTCGCTGGAGTATCTGACAACCTAACTGGACATTTGCTAGGCGAAATGAAACTTATGAGTCCAAGAGACTACAATACACATTTCACTCATTTCCGGTCAAATAACTTTTTCCAGAACATCTGTAAAGTTTTTAAAAACGTGTTTAACATTCCGTTCAAAATTCGATGAAGGGAAAAGCAGTTTGATATCCCTTCGAATTCACACTGGTGGCGTGACAAAACTGGGCAACTGTTTCACTGTGTGATACATCTAATAAACAAACTAATATGGAATTACTTACTACCACAATGCCCAAGTTTTACACATATATTAAAGGTCGAAAATGTGAAGAAGCTGAGTAGGTGTGTAATTACTTTTTCAAGAGAATAGGCAAAACAGTGACAACTCACTTTCTGTTTGCGACTCACATGATTGAATTTGCTCATTTTCCCAGAATTTACCCACCTGCTCCCCGACTAGGTCCCCTTCAAAACATACTAATTTAATTTATTCCTCTGAGGCAGTCCAGAGGTTAGAACGAACTGGAACCGGCAAAGTTAAGCTATTATGATTAAAACTACCGCACCGTGAGTGACCAACCAGAATCCAGATGCAGTGATGTCACATGATCGCTGAAAAATGCACTAAAAACGTTGCGAACATGATATAAAATACTATATAGTCTCCGCTTATGTTTTGTAAGAATTTCTCCCAGTCACTACAGATATGATCTATGGGGAAATCATACCATGCGCTATAGATGCATTCATCCGAGTGTTTGTAGGTCATGGTACTTTGAGGTGTTTTGATTTTTCTGATACTTCTCTTTGACCAACTCCTAACTCTAACCATAATCCTAACTCCTAATATCAGTACAAAGTTTGAGCATTGTGGATTAGACCAAATAAAGTATAATTATATTTCAATAGTTTACACACAATGTGTAAACTATTGAAATATAACCTAACTCCTAACCTCAAATTTAATCCTAGTCCTAACCTTGACCTTAAACCCTAATCTAAAAGACCCCAACCCTGCCTAACAGCATATATTAACAGAAGAAATACTTAAAGAATAAAAGTAATACTGCATCTGTCTTTTCCAGTTCCAGAAAGGCAGGCATAATTTTATTTGGAATGACCTGTATCTGATTGGTTCTTGAAGACCAAATCTTGAAAGGCCTCGGCCTTAGTTATGGTACTTTAACTTCACCCTGGATCCCACTGGAAGCCTAGAGACGCACTGAAATAGCAAGACTGAGACGCCAAAAAGTCATAGGATTTATTCAAGACAAGATCATCTGGGAACATTGTGTATTGAAACGAGCTTGGTTCAAATGGCGGCGATACGACCAGTGGTTTTTATCCGCCCAATATGTCTCCCGAAGACAAAACATTATTTGTAGGCGTCCTTTTTGGGAGTTGAGTTTTAGTCCTTTATGGATGAGACAGGTGGAGTATCCGAAAGTGTTTCCGGGGGATCCACCTGTACGTTGTTTCCTACCCCCGTTCTGGATGAAAATGATGTATCCTGGCCCAAAAAATCCTCCTGACCATGTTGTTTTCAAAGTTCATCCACAGTAAGCAGCAAATAGTTCATAATCCCAGGATGACTGGGAATGATGTTCGACAGTATTTGGAGAAAATATACAAAGTTCCGGTTGCAGATGTACGAGTGAAGATGGTTTATCACGACTGTAACTAACAATTCTTATTATATTATCCTCTTATTTCAGTGGAGCCAATCGATACGCATCCAAAGGAGCGTATGCAACGTTCAATAGATTCCACAGTTTTCCCTCCTAAGCCTGAGCGTTATGAAAAGGTTGCGTACGTACGACTAGTAAGTTCTTTGAAGATAACTCAAGCTTTTTATCTACCGACGACATGATACAGAAGATAATTTGTATAAAATCAGTTTAACTTACCTTCATTATGGTGTTTGGCAGTTAACTGTGAAGAGTACGAAATTTATCCACTGCTGTTATGTATGTAGTTTCTTAGTCTATAATTGTGGTAATTTAGATTAGTAAAAAATAATCGTGGTGTACCTGAGCAAAGTTCACCACTAGTCTATTCCCAGTTGCTGTGCAGTTATTAAAATATTATGAAGTCAATGCATACCTTTGGCTTATAACTTTCAAAGTTTCCACTTGAATTCTAAGTACAGTAAGTGTGTTGAAGACTTAGTGTAAACTGTACTGCAGAGATATGAGTAAAATTTTTTAATAGCGTTCTTCACTTTTACTTTGAGTTATCTACCGTGTTAAGTATAACTTTTTGATTAATCTACAGTATTCAGTTGGCTTCCCACCTTTAGATGTGTACACATTATTCAGTTTAGGAACTTCCGGTCGAAAGGAACATTTCGTACAATTTTTCTCTTGTATCCTAAATGCAATGAATAATGGATTCTGTCATTATCGTGATGACAGCTTGAGGTATGATTTCACAGATTGCATCTAAAGATGTAATTTTATTTTAAAGCTAATTGACTTGTTCGAAAAGATACAACAGTTCATGGCTAGTCTTATTTAAGGTTATCATACCTATTTATTAAAAAAGTTTACAAGTGTATGTAAAATCACTGCATTATTTGTCTGCTACATTAGAATTAAATTTAGACTAAACAAGATAGGTAAAAAGAGCTTGTAAGAAGCAGAGTGAGTTGCATCCATCGTATTTTCACAGTAGCCAAGGAATTTTCAGTCATTGTATTTCCTAACATCGAAGCTGTGTTTAATTTCCCTGGGTAGAATTATTTCCTGATATTCTCCGTCTTAAAGGTGTCCTTCTGGAGATTTCATAATATTGCCTGATGTTTACAGAAAAAGTATACCCTACTAACAAATTTCGCTATCAAAGGAGCGTTTAATTGTATAAGGTTGCCTAATATCCCTCAGCCTCTCAAACACACCTGGTGATACTTCAAAGATACCTCTGAAGTAGGTGCATAATGTTAGTGTCAACACACTACTTAAAAATCGCCAATTACGATATCTGTTTATTTCATGATGTCATAAGGATAACTGTTATTTTATTTCAATTTTCGTTTTGCAGAATGAAAAGAAAGGAAAAGAAAGAAAGAAAATGTTGTACCTATAAATGATATGAGTTGGAAAGACGAGATCCAGTTGTTCTACTGACTATTTAATGAATTATAGGTGTCACGCCTAATGCTTTTTTTTATCGCACAGAACACGAGCCAAGTAGGGTATGGTTTAGTTTTTGCAATTGCTATTGCGAGCATATAGTTTTCTATATAGGCTTCTGGTCCTGCTTGATAAGATACAAGGGGAGAGTTATGAATGAAGAGGGTGGTGTGAGCTAGATAGAATGGATTCAGCCCATTTTTCACATGAGTCCAAGTGCCTGTCAACTAGAATATTAACAAGCTGATTAAGTGGCACATCGCTTACCCTGCTGACAACCTTTAACACCCTACGTAATAAGATATAGTCCTTCTTCAATAGCCCTGGAATAACTAAGGGGGAACAATAGAGAATAATGGCAGGATGCAAGAGTTAACGAATCGTAAGGGTAAGGGTTGGGTTATTCTAGAATGTCTTAACTTCTTGATGTAGAAGGTAAGACGGAATATTTTCTTAGAAATCATCGAGATATGAGAGGACCAGGAAAGATCAGCAGATAGAATGACGCCAAGATATTTAATTTCCGACTTGGTCTCTTATTTCAGTGCCATCTATATTGCACACCTCGTGAGTGCTAACCAGTTTGTTTAGGTCAGATTTATACCTAAAGGTGAAATTGACCGTTGGACATTTAGAGGAATTTAAGGTAAGGTCGTTTTCCTTGGACCACTGGCTGATTTCTGATAAATAGCCATTTAGTTTGGAGTATTCACTTTGACACTTGACAGGCAAAGATACAGTCAGATCGTCAGCATATTTAACAAAATTAGTGTCATTTGAAGATGGTAAGTCATGTAGAAAGAAAGAAAAGAGAAGTGGGGAGAGTACAGCACCTTAGGGGACAACAGCTTCAGTGAACACAGCAGAGGAGGATTTACCTTTGTATACAGTGTACTGCATTCTGTTTGAGAAATAGGAATGCAACCAGTTTGTAACCCAGGACTCAGTTTGTGTCATCGAGAGCCTGTTTAGCAAGAGACATCTAGGTACAGAGTCAAAAGCAGAAGTGAAGTCGAGAAATGTGCAACGAACGTATTTGGCACCTTTATTTGATGATGAAACGATACTGTTGTGTAAGACCGGCTGCGGCATCTAAAGAGCTCCTACCCTGTCTATATGCGAATTGTCTGGGGTCTTCAAAACTTTTAAGGGAGGGTTCTGGTTTAAGAAGTATTAGTTTCTCCATCAGCTTTAGAACCGGGATGTAATGGCAATGGGTCTGAATTTTATATTCTTGCTATTTCCAGGTTTAGGGACGGGGACTATTTTAATGTCTTTCCATGCAACAGGTACAATGTTTTTGGAAAAATAAACGTGTAGGATGTTACTAAGTGGAGAGCATAAAGCATCTGCACATTGTTTCAGAACATAAGCAGGTACACCATCAGGGCCAAGGCTACGTGAGGGCTTAAGCGTCTTAAGACATTTTAGAACATCAAGAGTATTAAAGTCATGAAAGTTATCAACTGCGTGATTTGTAACACTAGAAGTAATTATAGTAGAAGGAGAGCGTATAAAAGACTGATTAAGAGCGTTAACATCATAAGAGGGAAAAACATTGCATCGCTTACCATTGCCAGTAATTTCGTTGAAAAGTTTCCACATGTTGGTAGGAGATTTGCATGATAGAAGTGTATGATTATACATAGCATTGAGATTTTTGATTTCAGATTTGATTAGAGCATTAATCTTTTTAAGTCCTAACTTATCTTTGGATTTATATAACGTTTCTTTTTGCCTGCGTAGTTGTTTGAGACGAGGAGACGAAAAGCGGTCGAAGCTTTTGAATAGTGTCGGTTTAGGACCGCAAATATCGAGGTAGAACTTAAGATAGTCCGTTATATCGGCGATTGTGTCATCGAATGTACTTTCATTGTATAAATCCCAGTTAGTATTTTTAACATGCACCTGAGATTGAGTAAGTTGTCGGATGTGTAGCATCTTTCCATATTAGTTTGTTTATTATCACACAGTGAAACAGTATTATTTACTGGATGACGTTTCGAACAAAATTTATTGTTCATAATCATATCGATTGTAATCACACGACTTTGAAACTTGAGTTTTCTTTGTTTTCTCCTATTTGTCGTGAGGGTAGTAGGATTTTCCAGATGTCTGGGTGAAATAGGTGTTGAAGCATTCCTATTACACGTATTTGCAGTTGATTCGATAAACAAAGCTTCTGTTATCAATCTCTCCCTCCCCCCTGCTACATTAGATTAGATTTTAAAACTGTCATCTTATGCCATCCTATTGTATGGTTGTGTGTAATTGCATGTAGTGAGTGGTATAGCTGAACCGTTCTCTAGATTTCTTGTCTTATTCGGATCAACCAATCTAGATTTTGCTGCTAGGTTTTTATGCTCCGCTAGTCTGACTACCCCTGTTCTACTACTTTGACCTGACAATCATTGCAGGGTATTAGATAAACCAAATCGTTTTGTTTTATTGGATCCACAGGACTGATCCTTTAACCAACAAAACTTGTTTCTAATTGAGTTTGTGGGTTTGAATGCCAGCCACTTATATTCCTGCCTTGTTAAGAATTCTGCTTAAGGTTTCCGAGGTTCCTTCCTTGTATGGAATTACTACCGACGATACCAACAATAAGGAATCTAAATCATCAGTATTAATTCCAAACAAGGAAGGAGGCCTATATAAAAAACTAAATGCTCGCACTAGCAAGTGCAAAAACTAAACCATACCCTACTTGGCTCGTGTTCTGTGCGATAAAAGAAGCATTAGGCATGACACCTATAATTCATTAAATAGTCAGTAGAACAACTGGATCTCGTCTTTCCAACTCATATCATTCATAAGTACAACGTTTTCTTTTTTTTGTAATGAGCTGTTTTGTTTCTCTCTTCCTTACCAACTCTACTTAAAACATTCTTCGTTCTTTCACACTCTGTATATCTCGACCATTTTGTTACGGCTTACGCCAGTAAATATGCGTGTATCTACTTTTCTAACACCTTCAAACATTCTGTTCACTTTTGGCTTTGTTACCGATATGCTAATATGTTGTTGTCAGAATTAACCGAGACTACCCATAATCTATGTAGAATTTTATTTATTGTTAATGTACAAACTGAATGCAATACTGTAGTGAAATGCTGAGAATTCCATTCTGTATCACAAGTACTGTTTTGGAATAAAGCAAATTATTATTATTATTATTAATATACTTTCCACTTAACCTTACAATATCTTATCACCTACTTTTTTTTCTTAACAAGGCTCCAGGTGAAGTATTCGCTTTTCCAGACATATTTAAAGATAAACGCCCATCAGATGTTATGGAAACTTTCGATGAGAATGCTTCTACACCTAAGGATGAATCAAAGGATGTTATCCTATCAACTGACAACCAAGTTAAACCAGAAACTGAGAAATTTCAGCGTGTTAAAGGTTATAGCAAATGGTTTAAATTTTAGTTGTTTGTATGCATTTTGACCAATAAAAATTTCCCCACACTTGTGTTGTTTTTTATTTTTATTTCGTTATATGTTTAACTATGTATGATAAACTGAGCAATATTGAGGTTAGGCGTCCAGTGCTGGTAAGAAGGGAAAATCAATCGATGAGGTTGTGAAGCTACATCAATTGGGATAGCTAGGATATGTGATACGCATGTAAAGTCATCGCTTTCCTCAATGGGTGGTGTTAACTGACACAGGATGGATCAGGTTGGTAAAGGGATACTTACTTTACTTTACTTCGACTATCTCCTACGGGAGGATGAGCCGGCTTCATGAACATCTCGAATCAAGACAGTTCATGAAGTTTCATGGGAATTTGGTACGAGTGATGTCCCCAGAATCACTCGGCCTTTTGTTTGAGAGTGCAGCTCTAGCCTTTACACAACCGAGTGTGACCTACAAGGCAGTAGGAGTGGAGTAGAGAGTCCATTATCCATTGGCATCCGGTGACCGGAGTTCGGTTCATACGCCTTTTTGAATGGGGCTAGACATCCAGGACATCCAACAAGCCCTTTGTCCATACGTCTACCGGTGAGCTCCAGTGAGCTTCATACGCCAGTGGTTGGAGGTTTGGAATCAGGGTCTAGCCATCTTCCCTAGACTGTCATCCAATGGACAGTCAACCCGGTGAAGAGCGCCGGGCATCCGCTTTCGCCCTCTCACCTTGGTGAAAAACACCTCCGCCACGTGAAGGCAGTGAGTAGGACTTCCTCAGGAGAGGCTATGTAAGACGCCCGGTCATATGGGAGCATTTCAAGAGGTGCACGGAGGGGTGGC